TTAAAATCAAACAACATTCATTCAACATTCGGGCGGGGGCAAATTATGGTCTTTACCCCCAGGCCTGGCGGGAATGAACCGGTGGAACAATCTGCCTCCAGAGGTTGTGGGTCCTTCATCACTGGAGGTTTTCCAGAAGAGACTGGACGTCCATTTGTAATAATATAAGGCCTGTTGCTTGAGCAGGGGGTTGGACTAGAAGACCTCCAAGGTCCCTTCCAGCCCTGTGGTTCTATGTTCTGTGTCCATGTAGCATGTCTCAGCTGTGCCAATGGAAAGGGGTCTCTGCCAACCTCTCTGCTTCTCCCCGCAGGTACATGAAGTATCTCTACCCTTACGAATGCGACAAGCAGGGCCTAAGCTCCCCCGGAGAGCTGCAGGCCGCCATTGACAGCAACCGCCGGGAAGGGAGGCGTCAGATGTTTGGGGCCACCCTGTTCAGCTACTCGCCCACGGGCACGCCAGCCACCCTCGCTTCCCCCAAGGTCCCTCTGCCCTCCCTCACCATCGCCACCCACAACGGGAGCCAGATCGGACAGGCTCGCACCGTCAAAAATGGTGAGGGGCTCAGACTGGTGTAAGGAGGTGGGTGGGAGGGAAGGAAGGGGCCAAGGCAGAGCAAGGGTGAAAGGATGAACCTCTGCAGGAAAATACACCCTTTGGAGGGGGTGTACAGTTTGGTCTAAAAGACCACAATTCAGCTTTCCCCCCTTTACATCTTCTCTTATACGTAGTTCATTGTATTTCCATTTTCAGTCATCTTATTTTTTCCCCATATTTTCCAGCTTACTGTATTTTTCGGAGTATAAGGCGCCTCTTCCCCCCCTAAAAGAGGGTGAAAAATTGGGTGCGTCTTATACACTGAATGTAGCCCCACCCACCCACCGGCCCACCCACCCTTTGGCCTCTGCCTCCCAGCAATTGACCTCCTTGCAGCAAAGGGGGAAAATGGGGCTTGCGGAAGCTACAATAGGCCATGGAAATCCCTGCAGCCTGAAACAGCTGATGATCGGGAGGCCCCCCCCCCTTGACTGAAACTGAAAGTGAAACTTGCTGTTTGCTGGAGGAGGCAAATTGCTGGGAGGCAGAAGCAGATTTTTCTTCTTCTTGTGCTTATCTGGCTGTTTGCTGCAAGGAGGTTAAGTCAGTAACTATAAACGCCTATAGAATGTTCACGTTTTTAGACTTATTTTTTAAAGACTGCTTTATTATTGTTCTGGACAGCTTAACAAAATGAAGAAGCTTCTTAAAATAAATGCTTGGTCTGAAGAGGCCCAGTGCTATTGTATCTCCTTTTAAATAGCAGAGAAGAACTTATATACTTCCAGAAACCCACATCAATTTTAACAGCATCTGTACTGTCTGAAATGCAGCACCACAAACAGTGTCTGTCGTCTGTACTGTTTGCTGTTTGCTGCAAGGAGGCAAATTGCTGGGAGGCAGAAGCAGATTTTTTCCCCCTTGTTTTCCTCCCCAAAAGCTAGGTGCATCTTATACTTTGGAGCGTCTTATACACTGAAAAATATGGTAGCTTTAATTTCTTCTTAAAATATAAACAATATCATTATCCGCCTCTCCAAGTTAATCAAATTTAACATTTCATTTCCATCTCTTATTCTGTTTTGCTATCGATAACATATATCCTCAAATTCAATTTTGTACAGTAAACATTTCATATCCACAATTAATAGTATTGATCTATTTCCCTCATATCATATTAGCTATAGGCCATTGAAAATATTTATCGTATTTCATTCCATTCTACTAGTAAACTCTGAAGGAAAATACTCCCTTTTTGGGGGTGCAGGGAGTTCCGAATGACCAGAATTGAGCCCAACGCTTCCATGGCTAAGCGAGACGGTTGCTAAGTGAGTTTCCCCATTTTACGACCGTTCTTGCCGCTGTTGTTAAGCGAATCCCTGCAGCTGTTATTTTAGGAACCCAGTTGTTAAGTGAATCCGGCTTCCCCATTCCCTTTGCTTGTTGAAAGGTTGCAAAAGGGGACACGTGACCCCTTGGATATGGCGACCGTCATAAATACGAGTCAGTTGCCAAGAGGCTGAATTTTGACCATGGTGAGGCTGCAACGAAGCGTGAAAAAAAAGGTCATCAGTCACTGTGGTGGTATAACTGGGCTAAATCACTTCTTTCTAAAGTAAACCTAAACTCAAAAAAAGAAAAAAAGGAAAGGAAAAAAGGAAGGGGGAGGAAAAGCCGCATTGAGTGGTTTTGATCTGTTTTAATTGCATTCCAGGCTGTTCCTTGATAAAAGGCTCGGCTGTGAATGGACCAAAGTAAATAAATAAACTTGGAAAAGGACCCACTCGGCTTTTCCCCCCACTTGCAAACCCAGTTTTTTCTCGCAGAGAGTCAGAAGAATGCCGAAGCCATCATCGTCTGCTCCTTTCTAAACGCAGCCCCCCTCCATGTGTGTGTGTGTGTGTGTATATATATATATATATAGATAGATAGATAGATAGACAGCTGATAAATTGTGATAGATAGATAGATAGATACAAAGATGATATAGATACAAAGATGGATATACTTACAAAGGAAAGGTAGATAGATAAAGAGAGAGAGAGAGAGAGATACAAATGTAGACAGACAGACAGACAGAGATAGATGACAGCCATGAGAATTCTCTGTGCATCTTCGTTGTCTTCTCCTGACTCCTCCTCCTCCTCCTCCTCCTCCTCCCCCTCCCCCCTCCTCCTTGCAGAAGAGAGCCTCCTGTCGTCTGGGGTGCCCAGCCGCATCGCCATCCCGGTCAGCCTAGCCGGGCATCACCTGGTGGCAGCACAAGCGGCGGCATCGCAGGCGGCCGCCCTGGAGCAGCTGCGGGAGAAGCTGGAGACCAGCGAGCCCCCGGAGAAGAAGATGGCGCTGGTGGCCGAGGAGCAGCAGCGCCTGGTCCAGCAGGCTCTTCAGCAGAACCTCCTGGCCATGGCCTCCCAGTTCCCAGTCAACATCAAGGTCAACAGTCGCGCAGGTGGGGAGGAGGAGAACATCTCCCTTGAGCTCTTCTGCATTGGCCCCAGGGCAGCAGGGAGGGGGGGGGGAATCTACATTTTACTACCGGTTCTGTGGGCGTGGCTTGGTGGGGGTCATGTGACTGGGTGGGCGTGGCTATGTGGTCCTGTAACTGGGGGATCAAAAGACAGAAACTCACTTTAACAATGTCCTGCTGGAACAGGGTTGGACTAGATGACCTCCAGGTGCCTTCCAGCCCTGGATTATCCTCTGAAGGGCCAAGGGCCAGGTCTGTAGTCCTTCCTTCCTCTCCTTTTCCCTCCCTCCCTCTCTTTTTCTTTCTTTCTTTCTTTTTTCTTTCTTTCTTTCTCTTTTTCTTTTCTTTCTCTCTTTTTCTTTTCTTTCTCTCTTTCTTTCTCTCTTTTTTCTTTCTTTCTCTCTTTTTCCTTTTTTCTTTCTTTCTCTTTCACTCTTTCTCTTTTTCTTTTCTTTCATTTGTTTTTTCTTTCTCTCTTTTTCTTTCTTTCTCTCTTTTTCTTTTCTTTCTTTCTTTCTTTCTCTCTTTTTTCTTTATTTCTCTCTTTTTCCTTTTCTTTCTTTCTTTCTCTTTCACTCTTTCTCTTTTTCTTTTCTTTCTTTCATTTGTTTTCTTTATCTCTTTTTCTTTTCTTTCTCTCTCTCTCTCTCTCTCTCTCTCTCTCTCTCTCCCTCCCTCCCTCTCCATCTCTCTCTTTCTCAGCACCCCCACCCCCTGTTTTTGACCTAACAGGTTTTGCTGCTGGGAGCAAAAACGGACCCCCACCCCCACCCCTGCGTTTCCGGAGAACCTGTAGTAAAAAAAAAATGCTTAAAAAGTAAAAACAAAAAGTTCCAAAGATCAGCTGTGCGAAGTGCAATCGGCGGAAGTTTTTTTTAAAAAAAACTTTTAAAGTGTTTTTTTTACTACTGGTTGGGTGAACCGGCCCGAACCAGTAGCATTTCACCCCTGGTTGGCAGGCTGTGGAAACTACTCCCACCAGGCCGATCGCCATTCCCCAGTTCTTTGCACTCTCTGCGGGGAAAATTAATTCAGGGATTTTTTGTTTTTAATTGCATTTATATGCCGCCCTATTCCCTTCAGAGTTGGTTTTCACCAGGTATGTGCCAATATGATAGCAAAAGTACTTAGACCGCATCACAGTGCTTGACAGCCCTCTCTAAGTGATTTACAGAGTCAGCCTCTTGCCCCCAACAATTTCACCCACCTCGGAAGGATGGAAGGCTGAGTCAACCTTGAGCCTGGTGGGATTCGAACTGCCAAATTGAAGGCAGCTGGCAGCCAGCAGAAGTAGCCTGCAGTACTGTACTCTAACCTCTGCACCATAATAGCTCAAGGAAGAAAGGATGGATGGATGGATGGATGGATGGATGGATGGATGGAAGGAAGGAGGAAAAGGAAGGAAGGAATAGCAATAGCACAGACTTATATACCGCTTCACAATGCTTTACAACTCTCTCTTAGCGGTTTACAGAGTCAGCCTCTTGCCCCCCACATTCTGGGTCCTCATTTTACCCACCTCAGAGGGAGGGAAGGCTGAGTCAACCTTGAGCCTGGTGGGATTTGAACTGCCAAATTGCAGGCAGCCAGCAGTCAGCATAAGTAGCCTGCAGTACTGTACTCTAACCACTGCACCACCATAGGCGAAGGAAGTATAGAAGGAAAGGGAAGGAATAGCAATGCCACAGACTTATATACTGCTTCACAGGGCTTTCCAGCCCTCTCTAAGCGGTTGGCAGAGTCAGCCTCTTGCCCCCAACAATCTGGGTCCTCATTTGACCCACCTCGGAAGGACGGAAGGCTGAGCCAACCTTGAACTGGTGAGATTTGAACTGCCGACCTTCAGCTAGTAGTCAGCTGAAGTAGCCTGCAGTACTGCACTCTTAACCACTGCACCATTGTGCCTATGTACTTAAATAAAGTACATTCTGAATGGACTTTGGATACTTAATCGGAAACTAACAATGGCTTATAAGAACATCTGTATAAGATGTTCTATAGACGGCATCTCCCCCCAGCAAATGACCTATTTTATAGGCTGCATATAAAGCCATATACCCTCGTAACATCAAGGAAAAGATTAATAAAAATTAGTTTAATTTTCCCTCTACATATTTGCTTGTTGGGCAACTTACTGAATAATGCATGTTTTGTTCATATTATTAATACCTAGTACTTAGACTTTGGCTTTTGATCAATCCAGCATCTATAGAGACTCCAGGAATCTTGCTATACAAGGTTCTCCCTCCTCAAATAGGCAGGCTGAGAGAAAATAATTTATAAATGAGATACTTCTTAGTCTATCTAAATAAAGATTGACTTAAGAGATCTTCATTTTTCCCACCTCAGAAGGACGGAAGGCTGACTCAATCTTGAACCTGGTGGGATTCGAACTGCCAAATTGTAGTCAGCGGCAGTCAGCAGAAGTCGCCTGCAGTCCTGCACTCTAACCACTGCGCCACCACGGCTTTTTTTAAAAAAAATATTCGTATTGTTTTTACATTTAAAACAGTGCAGCGCCGTGAAGTCAAAGTGACCACACAATCACATTATATACAAATAATCTCATCCAGTAATTGTTAGCCTACCTAATACATTATCTGTCCTTCTATCCAATCACATTATCTACAGTTCGTTCCATTCTCGTCACCTTGTCTTTATACCAGTCATAAAATCTGTTCCAGACTTCAAAATATTCTGATTCCCCTTTATTTTTAAGTTCAAGAGTGAGCCTCTCTGCTTCCGCACAGGCCAACACTTTCCTAAATATGTCTAAATCTGATGGTCTATTTTCTTTTTTCCCAAAAAAATAAGTTATACACACCGGAGTTAGTACATGTATAATTAGATAAAGCAGGTCTTTCTTCTACCCCTCCGGTTTTATGCCTAGGAGAAAAATGTCTGGTTGGAACAAAATTTCACCTCCCACAATTTGTTCCAACCATGATTGAATCATTTTCCATGATTCATCTTTTTGCTTCATTGCACGTCCAACACCTATGATAAAAAGTCCCTGGTTTTTTGTTTTTTTTTTTGCACTTCCCACAATTTGGAGCCAGATTTTTAAACATTTTGGAGAGCCGTGCTGGGGGGGAGATGCCATCTGTAGAACATCTTATAAAGATTTTCTTATACGCCGTGGCCATTGTTCGTTTCCGATTAAGTATCCAAAGTTTTTCCCACTTAGCCAATTCCACGTTGTAACCAAAATTGTTCGCCCAGGTGCCGATGGTTTCCTCGGCATGTTCTTCATGCAATATCACTTAATGATGTTCTTGAGGACATCCCTAACAAAGCTCTTCTTGGAGGATATTTGCCTGCCTCGGAGTTCTGCCGGCCGTGGGTCTTATTCCGTGGGAGCCTCCATTGCTCTGCCTGCCTCACCCCCCCCTTCTCCGTCTCCTCCCAGATGACAGACAGGAGACGGCATTGAACCTGTCCACCAACAGCATTAGCAGCCTCAACATGTCGATAGAAATAAACGGCGTTGTCTACACAGGTAAAGAGCCCCCTTCCTCGCCCCCCCCCACTTCCTTTGAAACGCAGGCTGCAAATCCAGAGGCCGCGCAAAGCCCCAGCTTCCCCTCCCCCCTGGGGGTTCTCTGACCATCGGGGCAGGGTGCTGGGAGAGGTAGCAGCCCCTGAGGAACGGCTGGCTTTGGGAGTTGCTAAATGAGAGGTTTGGGGGGGGCGTGGGGGATGATGGCTTGGGGGGCAAGCAGGATCCAGGATCCGCCCATTTCTCCGGCATAAGGCAAAGCAGGGGTTTCCAGCCTCTGGAACTCTAAGGTGTGAGGCTGGCTGGGAATTCTGGGGGGATGAAGTCCAGTTGCCTTGAAGATTCGGGGTGGGGGGGGGTGGGGGCTTCCAGAGGGCAGAGCCTGGATTTGGGTGGCTGTGTGTGCTGACCATCTCCAACTTAGCACCTCTCTCCCTCTGACAGGCGTGCTGTTTGCCAGGCGGTCGGGCCTCCTGGGCGCTGCGGGAGGCACCCACAGCCATGCCACCACAGGGATGCCTCCCAGCCCACTGTTCTCCACCACATCTCGGGGACGTGCTCCGGCCAGCACCTCGCCCTGAGAGGAGAAGCCCTGCAGGCTGTCCTCCACCCCTCGGACAACGGCCATCCACTCCGCCATCCAGCGTGGGGACCTCGTAGGGGCACCTGTGTTCTTGGTTCAGGGTGGCATGGGGTGAGGCCCCCAGCCCTGGAGGGGCTTGGGAAGGGACTTCGGGGCAGGGCGAAGGACAGGATGAAGAGACACTGAGGCACCGAGGAGGGCTTGGGTGTGTGAAGGAGGCGGCAGAGGGAGCTGATTAACCAGTGGAACGGCTTGCCACCAAAAGTTGTGGGTGCTCCCATCACTGGAGGTTTCCAAGAAAAGGCTGAGCAAGTTTGTTATTCTGGAGCCGTGGTGGAGCTGGGGAACCAGGGTTACGGCTTCTCCACCCGCATTGATTTCCTTGACGGGGGTTGGATGCTGGGCCTCAGTTGGGTTCTCCCGAGGACTTGACGGTGGTGAGGAATCTTCACCTGGAACATGGTGGCATCTTCACCCTCTCCACCATTCCCCGACCAGGCGTAGCTCCATGCTCTTAACATGCTTCCCCCCGCTTCCCAGCCTTCACCACTACAGGGTCCTACCACCCCGATTCTGAGTGTGTGTACAGTCACCAATTCTTTGCACACTCACCCCCAGGGTCTGGGGCTCAGCCCAACAGTGGTTGGGAGTGGTTGCCAGTCCCAACCAAATCAAACATCTTGGGAGAAGGTGCAGCTGGGTGAGTGAGACAGCGGGGTGATTAAATCTCATGGTGCATTAGTTCTAGTGACAGCCGCATGGCCTTCCTATCCAGAGCATCTCAGAACCAAGAAGGGTGGGGAAATGGTTAGAAGATCAGCAGGACACATGAGCGTCAGGCTTATGGGATGGACCAAAGGAAGGAGGCAGCTGGTTAAAGAGAGATCCAGTCTAGAAGCAAGGAACATCAATGAGACAACGAGAACATCAATGGAATGACTGGCTTCTCAAGAGCTCTGGGTGAGCTCCATCACCGGAGGTCTAGAAGACCTTCCAGAAAGCCCAAACCAAACCCATCGGACCACCGTTTGACCAGAATGGTATAAGGTCTCCTGCCTTGGGCAGGAAGTTGGACTAGAAGGCCACCAGGGTCCTTTCCAGCCTACGACTCTGGGGAGGCGGAAGGTTTGAGGTGAAGGTTGGACAACCCTTTGCCTGGAACAACGCGGGGTTTCCTGCTTCAGCAGAGGGTTGGACTAGAAGACCTCCAAGGTCCCTTCCAACTCTGCCATTCTGTCCTTCTGTTAAGGCAGGGAGACCTTGTGAGTGGGACAGGCCAGTCGAGAGAGGATCGGGCTGTGAAGAGCAGCTTTGAGGGTGAGATCGAAACCGCCTTCGCCTTCGCCTCGGAGCCGCATGAGGACACCCGGTGGCTCCATAACGTCCATTCTCAGCCTGGCCCCAACCCAACCCTCCCTTCCTCCCCATCTTCCTCCCTCCCCACGCTGCCTCCTCCCTAGGGACACAACCAAACCGCCCATTTCTGGGGTTGCACTTTCAAGGGAACAGGTTGGGTGGGGGGGTGGTGGGGGGAGGCAACCCCTTGGGGTGCTGAGGCGTCCCTTGGGCTGGGGGCGGGAAGAGGATTGTGTCTCCTTGGGAATCACTGGGTTTGGGGGTGGGTGGGGAGGGGATGGGGAGGGGATGGGGGGTGTTTCTTTTGTTAGAGGGCAGAATCTCAAAAGTACCAAAGAAGAAGCGCAAGTGATTTCATCTACCTCATGTTCTTTCAGATGTGCCAAGGGGGAGGGGGGAGGGGAGGGGGCTCCTGGGGGGTCCAACTCACAGCTGTCTAGGCTGCCATGGAGTGCGCAGAACAGCTGCAGCCGATCCACGCTGGGAGCCTCCCTCGCTTCCTATTGGTACTGTCCTCCCCCACAATCGGAAACAATCGTGCGCTTGACCAAAGACCGGGGGCCCTTCGCGGGCCTCCTTGCACAACCGCCTGCCGGCTTCGAATATTGGCGGCCGGAGCTCTGGAGCGGCCGGCCAACGCGGCTACTACGTCAAAGGGAGCCTCTGGCAGAGCCGTCCCTGCAGACGGGACATTCCGGAGACTGGAGGGGACGCTTTGCGGACTTTTGGCTCTGAAGCTCTTGTACCAAAGACGGGAGCCCTGGGCACTTGGCTTTCCTGGGGAAGGGAAGGGGGGAGGAGGAGGAGGAGGAAGGAAGGGGTGGGTGGGTGGGTGGGGGTCTTTTCTCCGTCCTTCGAGGTCTTTCCAACTTTCTCCTTTTCGGTGTTTGGCTGGCGGGGTTAATTTTTCCCACCCTGGTGTGTTTCCTGCATCTTCCTCTCTCTCTCTCTCTCTCTCTCTCTCTCACTCACTCACGCCCTCCCTCCCTCCCTCCCCTCCATCTCTCACCCTCTCTCTCCTTTCCTTGTCTCTCCCTTCCTCTATATCCCATCCTCCCTCTTCCTCTCTCTCTCCCTTTCTCAGCCTTTTCTTCCCTCCCTCTCCCTCTGTGCTCCCTCTCCCTCCCTTCCTCTATTTCCCTCTCCCTTCATCTCCTCCTCTCTCCCTCCTTCTCTCTCCCACCCTTACTCTTCCTCTCTCGCTCTTTCTACTGCTCCCTCTCTCCCCCTTTCTCTCCTCCTCCACTCTCCCCCCTTTCTCTCCCTCTTCTTCCCTCCCTTTCCTCTCCCTCTATTTCCCTCTCCATTTATCTCCTGTCTCCCCCTCCCTCCCTCTTCCACTTTCTCTTCCTCTCTCTCTTCTACTGCTCTCTTCTCCCCTCTCCCTCTTTCTCATCTCCTCCTCCTCTCTCCCACTCCCTCTCCTTCTTTCTCTTTCCCTCTTCCCATCTCTTCCCCCCTCTCTCTCCCTGTCTTAGCCTCCCTCCCCTTATCTCCCTCTCCTCCCCTCCCTCCCTCCCTCCCTCCCTGCTCCAATCCTTTTGTTGTTCTCCCCTGCTTGTTGGCGTCTCTCCACGTTTCTCCCTGACTTTCTTGTAGGTTACGGAGTCAATCCAGGCACTGAGGGGGAAGCTGGGTTGGGGCACTCAGGGGAATGAATGCGAGGATTGAAGAGGAGGAAAATAAAAAGTAATTTTAAAAGAGGAAACCGTTGCCGGAGACTTTCATTTCGTCCCTCCCGTTGGTCTGAACCCAGCGCCTTTGGGTGATGTAACCGTTGCTGCTCGCCTTCAGACGGATACGGCCCTGAGGATAACAGGGCTAGTCCTCGTCTTACGACCACATCCGGAAACAGAATTTCCATTGTGGTGGTTAAGTGAGTTGCACCCCATTTAACAGCCCTTTTTGGGACCCAGTTCTTAAGAAAGTCATGTGGTCGTTAAATGAATCTGGCTTCCCTCATTGACTTTTTTTGCTGGAATCTGGCTGGGAAGCTCAAAAAATGGGGGTCACACAAATACATGAAATGGTGGAGGGTCTCCTGAGCTAAGCGTTGGGCTAGAAGACCTCCAAGGCAGAGATGGTCTCCTATTACCTTCACTAACGGTTCTGCAGTGTCTGGGCATGCGCAGAAGGTCCATGATGATGTCTGGGAGGGTAGGTGGAGCCTTGCAGCGGCACCACTGCCGATTCATCTGAACTATTCTATTCTATTCTATTCTATTCTATTCTATTCTATTCTATTCTATTGTGTTCCTCTGTGTTCCATTCTATTCCATTTCATTCTTTTTGGACTCCACTCCACTCTGTTCTATTCCATATTTCATTTCATTTCATTATTTCATTTCTATTCCATTCCATTCTATTCTGTGTTCCATTCTATTCCATTTCATTCTTTTTGACTCCACTCTATTCTATTCCATATTTCATTTTATTTCATTTCATTATTTCATTTCATTTCTATTCTATTCTATTCCATTCTATTCTTTTTGACTCCACTCTATTCTATTCCATATTTCATTTTATTTCATTTCATTATTTCATTTCATTTCTATTCT